TGTGTGTGTGTGTGTGTGTGTGTGGTACTGGGGATTGAACTCAGGACCTTGTGCTTGCCAGGCAGGTGCTTATGCTGCTGAGCTATATCCCTAGCCCTTTTGTTTTTCTTTAACTCAGATGCTTACATAACACTGTTCTCTACCTTACAAGTGTTTACTCCTGAGCTACATCTGTATCCCTTTCCATTTTTGTTTTGCAAGGCAGCCTCTCTTTTAAGTTGCCCCAGCAGGCTTTGAATATTTGATCCTCCTCTTGAGCCTCAAGTTGGAATTATGGGTACACCACCGTGCCCAGCTTTTACTCTTCTACTTGGCAACACATTTTTAACATCAGTTAATACAGATTTTATAACCTTCAGGTCTAAACCAAATCTAGTTGGTAACTTTAGTTGGGAAATTACATTCAAGTTGTAGTTCCACCTTGGAAGAACTGATGTGTTTGTAATGTAGAGAGCCCAGTATCCAAGAACACTGAATTAAGTAATTGATGTATGTTGTCCTTTGGCACTCTGAAGCAGCCACTTTATTATTATTGTATTTTAAATTCATGTAGTTCCAAGTTTTGGTGACGGGCTAAATGAGAAGCCTTCCTGCCCGCTGGAGGGGGTTTCTTGGAGGTTTGAATTTGGTATCTTCTAAGACCCAAAAAGTGGTTTGTGTGTGTGATTCTGTGTTTCTGTGAATGTTGCATAACGAAGATATTCCTGGACTCTTCTTAAAAAGGGGCATCAGAGTCATGCAGCTTCAGGCCCTGTGAGCAGTGTTCTGGCTCCTTTCCCTGGTCCCTGGTCCCTCCGTCCCGAGAGCTCACCTCACAAGGCTTTTCCCAGGGCTTTGTGCCTTTACCAGTGGATGTGTGCCAGACCAAGGGTGACCACAGAGGGCAGAAGGTTACAGTGCTGTTCTGTACCTCTATTCATGCGACAGTGTATTTTACAGTCATCCCTGCCAACATGTAAGGAGCTTCCTCCCTTTTACAGCCACGCTACATTCCGTCGAGTGACCGCCCTGTCCTTGAGTTTACCTTTTTCCAATTGATGGACATTTCTGCAATTTCTAGTCTTATGTTATTGTGTACAGTACAGTAGCTGGTCACCTTCCTTAGATGCCACTATGGATGTGTGCCGGTCAGACTGCAGGATAAACGCCTGCATCTTGACTAAGGATGGCAGGGCAAAGCGGCAGCTTGTGGCTTGCCTGGCCTGTGGCTTTGTCCTTCCTGGAGGCACACACACCATCCAGGGACGAGAGTGCCACCCCATGACCGTCCTGTGTATTCTTAGACTTTGTGCTCTTTGATAATCTGATAGCTGAAAAGTAGTATTTTCCTATATTTTACCTTTGTCCTTTGTTAAGTTCCTTGTCATATGCTTAAAGCTCATTTATATTTTCCTTCCCATGTACTTCTCTGCTTATACCTTTTGCTAATTTTCCTGTCAAGCTATTTATTTCTTATTTCTAGGTGCTTTTGAGCTCTTAGGAAATGAACCCTCTGCTTGGGAAACGAGTGAGATACGAGATATCCCTAGGTTCTCCCTTATCTCTGGCGTGGCCTGTGGTGGTTTCCAGCATGCAGAAATGCTTTGGTTAATGTTTAAAAAAAAACCACCAAAAAACCCTCAGTAAAGGACACACTGCCGTCCCCCCCTCAGAGTGCTCACCTCACTTTGAACACCCGTACTCCTTGTTCCTGCCGGAACGAAGCCCTTCTCCATGTCCTCTTTCGGGAGCGCCTTCAGTTGCGCCGCCCTGGCTGCTTGGGTGTTCTGACTCAGTTCAAAACATCTACTTCTCATGATCGTTTTGACTTTGAGGAAGAGGCAGAAGTCTCTTGGTGCCCGATCTGGCAAATAGGGTAGATGAGGACACACTGTAATTCTGTTATTTGACAGAAGTTACCATAAGGATTAATAAATGAGGAGTGACCAAAATCATACAGAGAATGTTTAAAAGAATTTATTACCATAAAAGACACATTGCTATTATTCTTCCACAGAATACTCCCTCTTAGTTTGAACACATTTAGCCCATTGTTCTTGACCATGTGTCTTTTCCTGTAATAAATTTTTTTAGCATTCACTGTCATTTTCGATCACCCCTTGTACACAGTCACATGGTGCCTAATGATGGGGCTGCATTCTGGAAAATATATCCTTTGGTGATTTTGTCAACATCATATGAAGTACTTTGACAGTCCCAAATGGCCTTGGTCAGACCCTCCATACGGCATTGTTTTCTTCTTTTGACACAGGGCCTCTCTGTGTGTCTAGGCTGGCATTGAACTTGTAATCCTTAGGACTCGGTCTCTCAAGTGCTGGGATTGCAGGTGTGCGCCAGCACGCTTAGCTTCCCATGGCTGC